CGCGAGGTGTGCTGAATAGGTCACACTTCTCTAGTCAGTGCCTACTAACGTTCTCTACTACTTTCAGTACGAGAGAATGCCGAGAGGCCAAATCAAGCTCATCAACACAATTTCTGAGGTTAAGGTCACGGAACGAGAAAGCTATGAGGATTCAGGATGTCTAACGAAGGGAAGCGAAGCCTCCGAACGGACGAAACGCGTCTTTCACTTGGCTCAGTGCACTGTGAACGCAGCTCGGGAGTCACCTCCCTTCCTAGTTGTTAAGTACACCGGGCGCGATGCAAAAAGCGTGAGTCACGAGAAGGAACCCGGAATTATCTTTGCTGAATCTTGGCATAGGCGTTCAAGAGGGACGTTCTGCAATTCTCTCAGCTCCAGTGCGCAAGAGTCCTCAATACTTATACCAATATCCAGTGAGAGTTAGACATAACATAAAACAGGGACCCGGTATTTCCGCAACTGCGTGGTTTCAATGACTCGGAAATTCCAATGGTCATCTTTCATGATCGTGAGTGATAAACACCCTGTCAACACTTCCTTCGTACGACTTATATGACCTGCTCAATCAGTGTTGATCCCGGCTATGCATGCTATTGAACACGCCCAAAATTCCCCGGCAATGGTGTGCTACCTTCGTTTGCAAGGAGAAACCGTGAGTCAGTCATATCAGTGAGGTCACTATCTTGATCCTATTCGTTACTATGGTCTAGGCTGTTTCGAATCTGCCACCTACCGCTGCCCGCATCATGTTGTCACGGTCAGAAAACTTCCCTCACAGTGAACACATCTGGATCAGACCGCAGACGGGAGATGTTTGCCTTGGGCCTGCTGGCCCATGGCTTCCGTTAGACTGTTACTTCACAATGAATATATATCCCGTGTCTCCTCATATGAGAGGTTCTCCGTTATCTCTCGGCGCATACAACAATTCCGCACTTTTCGACCACTTGTTGCAGAATGCGACAAGCGGCTTTGTTCTTTCTGCGCTGTCTCAACAGCATACGTGGCCATACCCTGACGGAATCGACTACTATCGACACATTCTTCATGTGTATTCGCGTTTTGATCAACGGCCTGTCGCCAAATTCCCCGAGAACACCTGGAACCTCACCCTTCATTGCATCTCGCTCCAGCTGCACCACCTCGAGAAACCAGCAGAGATACTCATGGAAGATGGAAGAACACGGTGCATTTCCTATTCAGCTTTCCCCACTGGCTCTTTGAACTTATGGTTGGCCCTCAGGTTCACGATATTGAACCATAACATTGAACATCAATCACTTAGTTTCCGCTTCGACCAAGATTGGCCGTCTTGCAGTTACTATGAGGCATGGTTATGTCAAGCCATCCACGTTTTTCACGCCTTGGGCATTCCAAGGGAGGAATGGGAGAACTTTAGTATGTACTCAACAATTGCGCTATTGCACAGTACGATTTCCCCCGCTCATCAACCGCTTCTAGCCTTGCTCTCACATTACTTCTACACCTTCTCGCTTGGTCCTGTCGGTCATGATCAGTCCCGCCAGAACTATGACTCCTATCGATTCGATCCGCCATATTATCTCTTCGTCCTACCTCCTCCACAGCTGCCCGATACGACTCCTGATGTGGTTTCCTGGATGCAAGCACCCGCTGAAAGTTTGTACTACTGGTCGGTCGACCCGGACGGAAACTCGAGGATGCCCGAAGCACACCGAACGGCGCTCGGTCTCCCTTGCTTTCAGAACTACGCCGATCCACCCCATGGTTGGAAGGTTGAAATCTACGATCTTGTGCGGCAGTGGCAAGAGGCCAAGGGATTCGACCCCACGACCACGGACTTTGCTCGCTCATTGGGGTACCCGATCATCGAAATCCTGCCTCAGGATAACGACCGCTTCGAAACTTTTGTAGAGAACGGTGAGAGCTCCGGTGAGTTTTTCACGTTCTCTTGTCTCCTATATGAATTATCTGACGGGCTTTCTTCTGACCACGGTCCCGGTAGGTCCGAAGCGCGAGCAAGAGCCGGAGCTAATGCAGGTGGACGAGGCTTTCAAGACTATGCCACGCTCACAGGTTCCCTTGTTTCAGCCACACGATTTGGAGGGAAGCGCCTCGATGAACGTCGACATGGAGGAATGTAGCAGTCGTATGGCTGGTCTACGTGTCGAAGCGATGTTGGTGGATGAGTAGTATCGTAGAAATGCCTTTATCGGATAAAACCAGTCGAGTCCTGGGTTCCCTATCACTAGTCACTGCTTAGACCAACGCGTGAGAGCTGCGACAGGTTGCTCTTTGAGGGGGGTATTAAGGGACGCAGTGAGAAATCGTTATACCGCATGTTTTGGTGTCCTTATTGAACAGATAAAAGCCCGTGTTTTGGTGGGAATGATACTGCATGTCGTCGTCAAGTTGAGAGCGCTGGTCTACCCACACGCTGACAGCACTTGTGGATGTGAAATAGAGACAAACGTGACATTCATAGACCTGTCAGAGGTGCCTCACGAGGTTGTGGCGCCCAAAAAGCACCTGTTGTCAATGCTAGCGAAGATCGATGATTGAAAGGGAAAGAGCTGAGAGAAGGACTTATGTCCGGACAGTCGGAGAGACGCGGCCCGGGGTGCCAGCAACTAAAGCAAATGCCAAATTCGTTTGAACGGACAATTGTAACTTTCATTCATCATACAAGATTCAACCAAAATGCACACCGCTCCTACCGATACAAAACCGCCATCTCCGCCGACACAATTCCCAACCCAACCCCCGTCATAACCAAGATCGGACCCAAATTCCACCTCGCAAACATGCTCTGCCTAATCCCGATCCCCTTCTGCTCAATAATCGACTTCCACAGCAATCCCGCCAAACTTGCAGAAAAGGTAAAGCTCACAGCGCCGATGTTACTCGTAACCGCCAACGCTACGCCTGCGGCTCGAGTCGTTTCGGGGGATAGACTCGGACCAGCCGTGCGGACGACTTTGGTGAGGAGGATCGTGGCACCAATGTTGGTTCCTGCGATGTTGCAGAGGATGACCCCGAGAACGCCGACGAGCCAGAGGGTAGGGTGCATTTAACCGTTGTTGGAGGCGAGGATTAGCCATCGGGCAAAGACATCGATCCAGCCTTGGTGAACTAGGGCTTCGATGAGAATGAACTGCGAGAAGGAGAAGGGTGCCAAAGCGAAGGGGAGACGAGTCAAGGCTGTGAAGAATGTGGGGAAGTGGGTGCGTAGAGAGGTATGAAGGTCACGTAGACGGTGCTGAAGGGTGGGAAAGAGCATCAGGTTCGCAGGTTCTTTGTCCCTTGGTTCCGGTTGCTCTGGTTTGGTCGTTCCGTCTAGCGTGGAAGACGGCGTGGCAGAAATTTCTTCCTTCCCATTTCTCTGCTCATCCGAGTCTTCCCGCGGATGCATCGCTCGTTTGAGTTCTGAGAGCATCGGGTCGTCCGACACCATATCCGTTTTCTCCCCGTCACTCCCGGCCGGCTGGCGTGGAATCTTCCCAGTGATGTACCGGTAATGGTCCCAACAAAGATCCCAGATGATCTTTACCACCGCAAACGGTAGCGTAATCATCCAAACGTCCACGTTGAAGAAGCTGAGGACAATAACCGCCACCAAACAAGTTCCCAACAAAATCCCACCCACCCAAGCTCCCACTGGATCGCGGAGCACTCCGCTTGGATTCAGGTGTCCCACATGCTGAAGCCTTCTCGGAATCTTCCCTGTCGTAAGGAACTGCCCCGCCAGGGCGAAATAAGCTGTAACGATACACCCAACGAAAGGCAAGATCGTATACGCTGTAAAAGCCACGTTGTTGATCCTGAGCCCTTCGCAGATCGTCACGTTGGTCAAGTTACCCACAAAGAGAACCATACTCGCCGTATTCGCCACGGCAAACTCTGTGACGAGCCAGGGAATGGGGTCGAGTCCTGTAGCGTTGGTGTAATATATGAGGAATACTGTCCCGGAGAGAACGACGGGGTCGTTTCCAAGGATAACACCAAGGAGGGTGAGCATGAGGTAGAAGTAGGTGAAGAGTCTGTAGCTGGAGGAGCCAGATTTGTTGCTGACCCAGAACGCGGCAGCTTGGAAGGCTCCTGTAATGTCGAGGGTGATGGCCATGTAAGCGAGGGAGAAAAACAGAATGAGGATGTTATAGGGCTTTATGCCATCTGAACAGAGGTTCCTAGTCAGATTGTTCGCGGGTGCATCGAAATGAGGACTGACCTGCGCCAGCAATCCCATTTCGTATCTGAGTATGCAGATGGTCAATCTAGAGTCCGACTGGGTGTTTTACAGGGAAACAAGACGCACCTGCTCGGGACCCAAGCATTGAGCAGCCCAGAGGATGGCAATCGTGATAATGGGTGCTGTCAACAAATCCAACGACACCTTCCTCCGCCCAAGATAAGGAAGTCGAATCCAAAATGCGAGCGGCTGAATAACCAGAGCGATCGAAATGATAAAGAATACGAGTGTAACAATCGAGAATCGAGTGATCATCGTGTGTAATGCAAGGGATATGAGTTCACCGTGAAGTCTGCACAGTGCACTGCTGGCAGAACACAAAAATCGTCAACCTTTTTTTTGTCGCTGTTAGTTTGCATAGGTTTGGGAAAGCCTGGGAAATCGGTCAAACAGTATCCTGAGACTCTCCGGTTGTGCTAGGAAACGGTGAAGATCTGCCCAAGAGCTCAACAAACATGCTAAGTAGTCGCTAGAGGTTTTCCTGACGAAGCCAGGTGGTGTTTGACCCTAGAGAACCGTTCAATCAAATCTGACGCGCTTTGTATGGTCTTGTGAGTACCCTCCCGGTCAAGCGCCCATATCTACACGAGAAGCGCTCGTCGAGTGAGATGGTCCCATTCTAGCTAGAGACTCGATTAAAGAGAGTGGGGGCCAAGGTAGTACATTTATGAGATTGAAGGGGAGAATTTTGGTATATTAGTATGTTTAAATGGCGAAATTCAGCTTTGAGGGACCTGTGACCCAAAAAAGAATTCAGGACCGCGAAAAACATTGGATCGATCCAGGTTCGAACTGGAGACCTCTCGTGCACAACTCTGACTTGGCATTACGACCCATGTGAGACGAATGTGATAACCAACTACACCATCGATCCCATACCGTTGAATTTTTGACCACACTATGTAGTTCTGCACTTGCAATCGATTGTACATTGCTTCCTTCGTCTTATCGATTATCCGATGTCTAGATGTGTCTGGTGCCACAAAAAACCACGAAAAATGGATCGATCCAGGTTCGAACTGGAGACCTCTCGTGCACATGGGCATGCAGATCAGACCGATACGGTTGAGACGCACCAGTCTGGTCCATGTGAGACGAACGTGATAACCAACTACACCATCGATCCTTGGTGAAGTCGAGTATGCTCGCTGGAATATATGTACGTAGAGTATACCCAGGTAACTATAGTTTTGGTAGAGACAGGGCATGGACTATGTGTATTCGTAACATGGCAGTGAAAGACCCTTTGGCACATCTCAATCGTCGCTGAAGTCTAAACCAATTGAAACGAGGAGGTTCAAGACATCATGGCCTTCTCAACTAGAACTTCCTCATCCGCTTGAATTGTGGGCGCTTGTGGATCTCAAACACACTGCTCAAAGCTTCCCGGCCGGTCAGCCCGGTCCGAGTCAGCACTGCCACCTGGACTCGCTTGGCAGCCCGTCGTGAATCTTCCTTGATCTCTTGTTTTTCCATTACCCCTCTGCTTGTCCTTGCCCTAGCACCTCGAAAGTCGACAATTTAGAAGCTCAAATGCTCACACTCAAGGGTCGTAGGACAGTCGAGGCCGTTTTCTCCGGCTTATGCCACGGAGGTCTGTTCGGTCGCACTCTATACCAGTCCTTTTGCCTTGGCTCCATACCAATTTCTCCGAGTCAATATTCATTCACTCTGGCCTTTCCCTTAGGTACATATAATCGCCTTTCTACAGCCTATGAGACTCAACGGATTTCTGATACATCCATCAGCGGCCCTTGACAAAAACATTCTTCCTAATTCAATACCACGTTCAAACACCAAACTCGGACCCACCGTCACCGACGATCCAGATCACTCTCATCCCGACAGTCAACTCTCGTTTCGAGACCATAGAAGCCTACATTACAGTTGAACATCCCTCCAGGCCTCATATGGGTGTCAGGTAGCGGGAGCGCAGCATGTCGACTCGGGCTCCTTCACCAGGCTGATGTGTACTTCGAAGCTTTGGCTCGCGGCGATTGACACTAACAATCATTAGTGACACACATAGACAGCTTCTGACATCTGCTTTTGGGATAGCGCAAATCCCCCATTGACTCGACCCAACGCGGGATGAGGATCTTGACCCGGAAGAGAAGGCCGACGTATTCTAGTACCCCTCCCTCCGACGTTGCCTCGAAATGCCTTTGTTGCACCCTTGCATGGAAAACTCAATTCAAGGCACGTCACTCGTTGTCGGGGAGTCAAGGATAGGGGAAATAGGTGTACTTGACGGATTCGGGATTCAGCTGAGGATGACCATTGCATGTAAGGCGAAACTTGGTTAGTCTGTGAACAGATAACTGTTTTCGAGTCCACAGATCATGAGAAATGACAAAGGTGACTGCCTCACAAAGAGACTCGCTTTCGAGTCCTCCTTATTGCGTGCACAACCCGAGACACGCTCTGGGTCGTTCCTGTTCGCGGGGTAGAGGCGCGGGAATGCGCCGCCCTTTAACTCAACAACCTATCACTATACATTTGTCCGCTTCCTCATTACGACAAACTCTGTCAGCCCCGAATGCTTCTGCGGGCGGAATCCTAGGAAATGTAGCTCCAGGCTACCAAGGACGCGTACCCTTCGGTATAAAAGCCCCTCGGTGCTGTCCCGGAAACGACAGAACTCTTCTTCTCTCATCTCTCCAGTCTCGTAGCTGTTTTCAGAATGAGACTTTCCGCCCTCGTTTCGCTCGCTGTTGCACTTGTGTCTGCATCCGGTGTAGTACACGCTTCTGTGCTCAACTCGAGACAGCCCAACCCCGATGGTGTCATCGTCAGTGAGTAACGCCTCGCCGACGATTTTGTCGCGCTTCTCACAACTTGCTGTAGACCTCAACAACCAGCTTTCTCTCCCTCATCCCCATGACACCAAGATTGGATCACGAGCCATTAACCTCGACACCAACAACATCCAAGGTCTCGCTATGTGAGTAGCATCTCCGCGGCTTGTATTTCTTAAGGTGTCTAATCGAGTTTTTTAGGGTTGGAATGAGATTCATGATGATCGACTTCGTCTTCTTCAACATCGTGGACCCCAAGACCTTCAAGGCCAAGCTCAAGGGAGACTTCTTCCCTCACGTCACCACCGCCGCTCAATTGGCCAACCCGGCGACTCAACCGGCTGTCGCTGCCAACATTGCCTTCTCTCAGAAGGGCATGACCCTCCTCGGTGTGAACGACAACCTCGGGGACCCCAACTTCAAGACTGGACAGGCCGCTGACGCCATTCGTCTCGGTGACCCTGGAACGACGAAGTGGCACAAGGAGTACCAGCAGGGTGTCATGGGTGTCCTTTCAATCGCTTCGAAGGACATGGACAAGATCAAGGCTGAGCTCGAGGCTATTCAGAAGATCTTTGGAAGCTCGCTCCAGGTTGCTTACACCCTTCACGCCCACGCCCGACCTGGTGCGGGTATGGGTCACGAACGTGAGTCGGATATACCCTTGGCTAGTTTCGAACGTCGCTTATTTCAATCTTTTCTTTGCTAGACTTCGGCTGGGTCGATGGTATCACCCAACCCGCTATCGAAGGTTGGGACACCGCTGCTACCATCACTCCGGGACAATTCGTCGCGAAGCCTGGTGTCATCCTTCTCGGTGAGGAAGGTGACAATGTTCCTCGCCCGGCATGGGCCAAGAGTGGATCTTTCCTCTGCTGGCGTCAACTTGAGCAACTCGTGCCAGAGTTCCACAAGTACTTGAATGAGACCGCCCCTGATGTTAAAGGACTGTCTCGTGACGATGCCGTCCACCTTTTCGGTTCTAGGATGAACGGACGATGGAAGAGTGTAGGCGTTCTCGCATGGGTATCCTCGACGACGATCGTTTGACACTTTTCTTTCTCTTTATTATAGGGTGCACCCATTGATCTCGCGCCATTCCGCGAAGACGAAGCTCTCGGTGCTGATCCGCTGAGACGTAACAACTTCAACTACGACCACCCCGAGCTCAAGGGCTTCAACATGAAGACTAACCAGACTATGTGCCCCTTCTCCGCCCACATCTTGAGGAGTCGCCCTCGTGGACACATCAAGCCGGAGCACCCTACCAGCCACATGATGCGCGGTGGTCTTCCTTATGGACCTGAAGGTACGAGTTTTCGAGCTTGTACCGTCTATGAGAGAGGGAAACTCATCACGGAGAATGAAGTTACCGAAAAGGAGCAGGCAGCCAAGAAGACCTTCTCTGACCAGGACCCCTCTCTTGAGCGTGGAATGGCTTTCGGTTCGTGTTCGAGACTTGTCCATGAATGGGCGAGGGTACTGAAGTCTGCGATTCCTCTAGCTGCCTACCAATCCAACCTCGAGAATGGCTTTATCTTCATCCAAGAGTCCCTCGTTAACAACCCTGAGTACGCGCTTTCCTCTCGATAATCCGAAGGCTTGCTGACATTCTGCTCAATAGCTTCCCCGCTGGCACGAAGACTGTAAGATCGAGGATTCTTCTTTATCTCGCTCTTCTCAATCTCTGACACGACGATATTACAGGGTGTTGACCCCATCGTCGGTTCGACTAACAAAGGAACTGTTGGGGACTCCCTTAGGGTCGTCAAGGGTATGGACTGGAACGACCATAACAAGGCTATCAACATCCAGAAAGGTTAGTAGCACAACGGTCTCGATGATAATTTGAAGCTGACGAGCGACGAATAGACTTCGTTGTCACCCGTGGTGGAGAATACTTCTTCTCTCCTCCTGTATCTGCTATCAAGGGCCGTTTGGCCCAGTAGATTCTTCATACCGTTCCATTCGAAGTGGAGGATTTGGACTCTTAGAATCGTACGCTAGCTATACTTCTTTCTTAATGTGTTCTCTTTTCTATCACTTGTCGTCGCTCGTTCGGGTTTTTCGTGCTGTATACGGTATCGTGTGCTAATATACAAAGGCATCTTGCCTGCCTCATGTCTTCTCGCTGCGTCTTTTATCCTCCTCGGAGAGAAACTCGACGGTTCTCAGCTCGAGCGCGTTAGTCTGAGCAGTGACTTGAAACGCACAGGTCGACTGATTTCTTTCGAATAAAGGTATACCAGATATGCTACTACTCATCTATCAGCATCGCTTCGATGCGTAAACTAGCCATACGATCACTACAGTCCTCCATGTCGACGTCCATCGAAGCGCTTTCCTCCGAAATTTGCGGCGAAAACGAGGGATTCTGTGAGATTGAGATAGTCTCGAAAGCCTCATCCACCTGCATCGGCTCAAGCGCTTGCTCGTGAGGCTTCCGGTCTACCAAGGTCACACCTCAGATGCTTCGTATAGGAGGAAAAAGGTGAGAAGCTCACCAGTACTCTCATCATCCTCTACGTAAGTGTCGAAGCAGTTGATGTCCTGGGGTAAGATTTCGACGATCGGATATCCCATCGACCGAACAAAGTCCGTGGTCGTAGGGTCGTACCCCTTGGCCTCTTGCCACTGTCGAACAAGATCATAGATTTCAGCCTTCCAAACACGGGGGCCAATGGATCGGCTTATGGACTTGTCGAAACAAGGGAGACCGAGGGCCATATAGTGTGCTTTGGACATCCTTGATTTCCCGTCTGGGTCAGCCGACCAGTAATATGAACTTTCAGCAGGTGCTTGAATCCAAGAAGCCACATCAGGAGCCTTGTCGGGCAGCTGTGGAGGAGGTAAGATGAAGAGGTAATATGGTGGATCGAATCGATAGTCACAGTCCTGGCGGGACTGACCACGAACGGAAGGAGTAAGTGAAAACCAGATCAGACCATAATATGGGAGCAAGGCTAGAGAGTCATTTGATGAGCGAGAGTAACCTTACCGTGCAATAGCCCAAGTATGGGGCACATACTGAAGCTTTCCCACTCTTCCCTTGGAATGTCCAAGACGTGGAAAACGTGGATGGCTTGACACAACCATGCCTCGTCGTAGTTACAAGGCGTTTGGTCTTGGCGGAAGTGGAAATCGAGCGATCCATGTTCGATGTAACGGTTCGATATCGTGAGCCTGAGTTTCAACGATAAGTTCAAAAAGCTAGCGGGTGAATGTTAAATAGGAAACGAACCGTGTCCTTCCATCCACGAGCGTCTTTGCTGGTTTAGACTCGAAGGAAACGCAATGAAAAGTGAAGGTCCAGGTGGTCTCGGGGAAT